CGGTGGTGAGACTTTGAATAAAAGAGGATGTAGTATCGGGAGGAGGTGAAGTCACACCCACTGCCCTGTACCACGCCCAACGTTTATTTCCATTGACGCCGTGATGGTGCGATTATACCGCTACAAGGTTTCTACATTCCGAATGGTGAGGGCTAAGTGGTGAAGGAGAAGAGCCGATATCTCTACGATTTAAGATACCAGCAGCTAAGACAGCTATTCTTCTGAGCACGCCCTTCTTTCTAGGGATCTCAGACAGCTTTTGCTTTTTTGTAAAATATTACCACTTGCCATTAGCATCTGAACCCCATTACCTATCACTTTTGCTACACTTGCCTCAAAATGCTGTTAATTTTCGCTATCTGGGCATATGTTCCTGTGGCACCTAATCGCACCGGCGCTGAAAACAAATACAACATTTGGTCCGGGGACTGAGTGATCCTTATACCCGGTCCGTAATAGGAGTGAATTTTGTATGCGACTATCAAGCCATGAGCAATCCCAGATAAATGTTCGGCGGCTTTCTGGCGATTTTGTGGTTCTGTAGTGGAACCGTGGCGGTTAAGGGACTCTTAGGGCTTCTAGTGGGAGTGGGTCGATGGAGAGGATAGTTCCTTTGTTAAGAAGCAGTGCTATCAGAGCGTGGCCCTCCAACTACAGTCGTCATCCGGGGACTTGATTAGGGCGGCAAGGGTCGCGACGCGGCTGCGGTGTGTTGCGAGCGCGGCGATCAGCTGTTTCCAGCCTATTTTAGCCATTTTCTCCCTAATTTACGCTGTTTTGGCTGCTTTTCTCGAGATTAGTTGTTCCTTGTCTTCACAAGGTAAATTATGATTGAGATTGCTCCGATTTTTTTTGCGTACAATGAAACAGTTAAGCAGGTTATTGAACAAATACATGTGGAAAAAGTTGCAAAAACACTATTGCAAACACAAACAGAAATTACTGCCGCGTCTAATGTACTTCACAAAAATAACAACTAACCATGGAAAAAATAGCAAGTACGAGCGAAAGTTAGGGAGAAATGGCCAACTTAGGCTAGAGAGCTGACCGCCACATTCGTAACGCGCTCACAGCGCGGCAACCCTTGCCGCAATACAAGTGAGTCAAGCTCCCCCGGATGACGACAGATGTTAGCCACTTTTTCCTCGTTACAGAGTCCACCCTGGTTTGAATAAGCACGGAGGCAGGATGGCTGTATAGGACATAGCTGAGAGTATAAAAATACTCGATTCTAACGCAAAAACGCAGAGGTTTAAGCGTAGTTCACAGTTTGGGTTTCTAGCTTATTTCCACCCTAACATCTTGCTATTTTTGGTTAGCAATAGAGTGCTGCTGCGTTCCACAGAACAAGTAATCCATGTCGATCGCTCCGACATTTATTAGTTGTTTCACAAATTCCCACTAGAACCGTTCCACACTGAAATCCCTTCTCCCTTCCTCAGCTCACTGGTAAGGCTATGAATGGTACGTCTCAAATAGCTTAAAAGCTCTCTCGAAGGAAGCCCAGTTTTTTGAAACGACGCCTCTGATAAGTTAGAAAATCACTCAACTCCTTCACGAACATAATAAAAAAAGACCTCAACGTTTCCTCTACTGCCACAACTTTCTCCTTCTGAAAAGAAAAATAGACAACCTTGTGGTTTCTTAATGTTGTCATCTTCAGATACGCTTGGGTTTTATGATGGGATGCATGATTGGCGGAGCCACTGGTGTGCTTATCGGAGGTTTCTCAGCTTTCCGGATGGGATTGAGAGGAAGGGAAATGTTAATTCAGGTATGGCTCTATGTATCTTTTTTTATTAAGATTAGTCTTATAATCTTCTGCGTTTCTCTGTTTACTCGCTTCTGTGACCACCAAGCCAACATCATGTAAGATTGTCGCGAAAGCACGAAGCTCTAATGGAGCTGTGAAGCTCTGTTCTTCAAGATTTACGGAATTTCTGAATAAATATTTTGAGGCAAGCTCAAGAAGGAAAATATATGCTTAAACAACAGTTATCTAATACCAAAGATAGATGATAGATATGATGAGTCTACCGAAGTCTAAGGACTCACAAGGGAAGGTCAACAGGTCAGTCCAGCCATTTCGAATGAAGTGCACACCGTTGTACGCCCCTGCACGGTGAACTCAAATCTACCTTTGGAATTTGCTGAACGATACTTTGAAAGAAGTTATAGAGGTTTTCCTCGCTTTTCTCTCGAAAGCGCGCTCACTCCCAAGCGGCCGGGGCCTGTAGCGCGCAATATAACCACTTTCGCGCAAAACGGGTCAAATAACCCCGGAGACGGCACTCCAGCCAAATCTGAGATTTTCACTCAACTCCGAAAAATGTGGGGTTGGGTTAGTCATGACTGAATATTGACAGTAGGTCTAGCCTATCACCGATGAGTGGTATTCGAGCTGAATTAACTCGTTGGCCATGCATTTTCTTAAACAACAGTATCTGGCTCCGTGTTGCCACCATTTTCCTGATAGTAAGGGACGGGGGGGGGGGGGGGGGGGAATTTCAGCTGAATAAGAATAGTCATCGGTGATAGGTGAGCTCCAGTGTGTTCACACACACTACTCATAGGATACCCCAAGTTGGGTGAACGTCTCACATTTGGCTAGAAACGTATCT